ACCCTTATTGGATTTAAAATGATTTATTTATGATGACGAGCGTTCAAATAAAAACGACGTCAAGTTGGCTTCGGAAATGTGAACGAATCATTCACTAAGCCCTAAATTCACATTTGCAAAGCCAGCTTGACGTCGTTTTTATTTCAACGCTCCTTATATAACATATTTAATTACATTTACAACCATTGCTGAAAGTGTTGACCTCCAACCATGGGCGCCGGCAGGATTATTTGCAGGGGGGTGCACCCATACATTATAGGATATAGTATATTTGCTCCATTTTCGAATTGAATCTGGGGATGAAATTTTAAAAATCATTTAGAGTCAGGAGCAGGAAACTCTTTGTATATATCGCATCAAATTCAAAATGAATTGATTGAAATTTGTTCTGATGTTCTGAAGGGCAAAATAATTGAGGAGGTGAATCAGGTATCCGTTTTTTAGGTGTTGGCTGATGAGACTGCTAATATTAGTGGCACAGAACAATTATCGATTGTATTTCGGTATTTGCGTTGTGATCAAGACAATAAAAATCCAATAATTTGCGAAGAATTTTTGGGATATGTGCCGCTGCAAGAACTGAATGCGGAAGCTATTTCAAAAACTATTATCCACTTCCTAGAAATTGCAATTTGGATTTAAATTAAAGTGTGTATTTTATACTAAGCCAGGGGGGTGCAAGTGCACCCCCTTGCACCCCCCTGCCGGCGCCCATGCCTCCAACTTCGCTACAAAAATTGACTCGGCGTTTCATAATCTCAAATACTGGAGTAAGAACTTAGGAAGTCATGCTGAAAATATCAATTCTGAAATTCTTTAGGATCAAACTGGTTATGCTTCGCAGACTCTTCGAAGGAAATGGACCCAAAAATCGTCTTTGCAAATGGCACACCCAATTCCAATTTTCTGTGGGTGTATCCTTAAAAAATAGTTTCAAGAACAGCAACACCAAGGGATTTCTCACGAAATTCCTTAAGAGAGTCGGGCTTCATACACCCATTTATCTTCAGATAACACTTTTCTCGAGGTGAAAATTTTGCGTCTGTGCCAAAACACACCTGGAGAGTTTTGATTCACTCCTTTATAAACATGTAGCCTTAAAAAAGACTAATTTTTGTCGAAACTTGGAAAAACAATAAGCGAAACGAATTTGCAAAAATGACAACAAAGTACAATTTACGTTGTTAAGCCACGAGATTATAGACAAGCCACCACAACGCAAACTGTATATTCTAACAGACGACCTACGTAATTTTTTTAAATAATGAGCAACGAAAACTAGATCACAATTGAGGAGACGTTCTCAACAAACAATAAACGACGTAAACTTTCTTCATTTTCATTTTTGATTTTCAGAATATAGTGAAGAGGTTAAGAAAACTTTTAAACTTTGAATTTAAAATTGAGCATTGAAGTCTCCGTAAAAGTGTATTAATCGACCGTACTATATTCAACTAACTTTAAAATGTTTATATACACAAAAATGCATTTTAAGCCTACACAAACGGCCTTGTTGCAAATAAGAATAAATAGATCTGATCATGGACAATAAGTGCAGCATTTCTTTAGACATTAATTTTTATGAGTATGGCCCCATGTTCTTTCTCAGTATTTTTTTAATGGTGTGTATAATGGGAAAACGAAGAGAAGAGGGCACTACATACCTGTTCAATACAGACAGACGTATGCAGTTCCCAAGCGAATAAGTTACGGTAATAAAATTAGTGCACATAAAGTCACCAATTAGGTAGTAAAGTGTTGATTGCATCTAAATGTGTGACATGTGACAAGGATGCTATTTTATAATTATTGAATGGCACCGTGTCGAGACAATTTTCATTTTAAATAACACAGAAAATGACTTGGGAACGTACTCGATCACATAAGCCTTTAAACCTCTAGATGAAACATTGTAGGAATACGAAAATTACATGACGTGTTTTTGTAAAGAAGAAGGGTACAAAATATGGCATGCAGTTTTACATGCTTTAAGCCAATACCAAACGCTTTCAGATTTATTTATATATGTACACAACGGCTTAAAATAAAAATTTAAAAAGCAGGAGGGTTTTGCAAATTCAAATTTGATGTGATTGATCGTTTATATATAAAGAAAAGTAAGAGACCCAAAATGGATCCCTGAGGTACTCCAAATAAGTTTTCTCGAGAATGGATCCATATATTCTCCTTTTTCATAACATTTCCTTAATCGCTGATGCAATCGAAAACTTTAATTAGATCACAAAATATTGTACTTACTTAAATATTAGGAGTATCTGTCTATCTGATTTTATGATTTCTGTCAATTATACGGTTTTATGTTAGTTATAATTTTTAACCAAACGTCACGATCACAGTTTAAAAGTGACATACCGAATGGCTGTTTAGAAAGATAACGGTTTTCTTTTGGCTGTTTAATCCATTACGTTTGGTTAACGCCAGAAATAACAGTGGGCGGCATCCAATTTTGTTTTGATGTGATAATACTTATATTGATTACTTTCGTTTGAATTTTGATAGTTGTTCATTAATGTAAAAATTTTATTGCTGAGGTCTGACGTTAACATAATAGTATTTAATAAATTCATTTGTTTATTAGCAACTGTTTTCGTAAAAATATTTTTTCAATAATTATTGTAAGGTTTTTTTTATAGATTAATTGTTTTAATTCTTCGCTTCATTTAAAGTAATTAATTTTTACATTAAAATACATACATTTATATATGTCAGTTTTTTTATTGTAATTGTATTTTCATTTTATAATTTAAATTAATGTTTTTTTTAATTTATGTTGCTCTCATTATCCGTTGGTGGTTTAATAGTAATAAATCAGATGTACCTACTACGTCCAATGAGAAATTGTAACAAGGTTCTGTAACATTTTTTCTTTGTTTTTTGTTTACATTTCGGAGAGTTAGATATGTAAAAAATTTCTTCTTAGATTTGAACCGATATCTCGTCTTTGACCTCCATGTTTTAATCTTATTTTTGGTCAATACTGTACCTATATCATAAAACATGGATTAAGTCGCTTTTTTTTCAAAAGTTCAATACAATTAAAAAGTAATTATATTTACGTCGTAGTTTATTCGACGTAATAGCTTCATTCTATGAGTACTAGAATCATCTTGCACATGCAGTGAAAGGCTCAGTTGTATCAACTGAGGCGTCAAGGATTTGTTGTCGAACCAATGGCAACGCTAGATTCGTTCTTCACGCGTTGATAAGGCAGTTTTATTACTGCATCTGTTCGGTGATTAAATTTAGAGTAGAAGTAAATACTGATAACACAGTTTTGAATTTTTTACCATGTACCTCATATCAATAACAATTTAATAATCTTTGAAGATGACATAACAGCTTTTTGATGAAGATAAATATGTCTGTGTCGATACAAACCATAATTTCTGAGCACCTGAATTTCAGTGACATTAGGTGAACTATTTTTAATATAATCATTATAAAACTGGTTCATACAATAATTTTTAGTTGTATTTCTATGTATCTACATATTAAAAAAAAAAACACGAAAAAGGCTAGAAAAATTTCCGTCATTTTCAGATTCTCGTCGTATTTGGTAAATAGACATAAACATAAAGTCTGTGATGATTTTCTAATTTACTCTAATAATATAAAGACCGTTCAAAACTATTTGTTTGCGTATGATATTTTGAGTCGTGCAATATGGAAAAATTTGGAAGAACTAACGAGACATAGGTACATATGTTCATTGAACAGCATTTTGAACTTTATTGATAAAGTTGCTCGCAAATATAGAAAAGGTTCATAAATGTATGAGTATACTTCGGCGCTGTTTGAAAAAGTGTACGAGAGAACTACCATTGCAGAACTCGATAAAATATTAAAGCATTACGAGCTTAACATGCGAAAAACCGAGGTACAAAGAAACAGTATTACAAGTAATCGGGTGGAAAAGTTGCTTCAAGAAATATATTGGGTACAAAATGTCCAATAAGGCCACAAAAAAAGACGCTAGAAGAGTAAGAGATGCCAAACCACACTGTTGCTCTATTCAGATGTTTTTTAGCACTTCCTGGATTTGTTTTACACATTGTGTAGAAAGATGGTGTAAAAGAGAAGGTGAGTTAAAGGAAAAGGGTCAAGAAAAGGTAACAGAATGGGTCAAGCTATCTCAGTTACATAGTTACAAAAATCAAGAATCATGGAATAAGAAACTGTCAAGAATACTTAACATGGTTCATTTTCATTTCTCCATTGTCATCATCGTTTGGTTCAAGAAGTTCAATTCAAAAATGTCCCTCAAATTGGCGCTAAAATTAACATAACTGACGTAATTGGACTGTTAATAACTAAAAGTATTATTCATATCAATTTCACAAAAAAATATGCTTCAGCGTTACGTGTAATTACTAAACAATTTACAAAATACTTGAGTGTTGAGTCACTGAACATTTTGTGTAGATTTCCATTAACTCAACCAAAAATTAATTAAGCTGTAAAATCCTTCCTTCAGCAATATCCATCACATCTCAAACAAAAACCAGCATCACCTAAAATCCTGTATCGAGCAAAAAGCAAAAATTAAAAATTACATTGATTTTGATACCGCGAGCTTTGATAAAAAGCACTCGACGCGGACAGTCGTGTCAAACCGCAGTCCGTCATGGGAAAATACCTTGCCGACAAAAATGACGTTTAGATCAATTAAAAATAAACAGAGCATAGATACTATTTAACCTGAAATAAATCTTCGGACATTCAAGCTGAACGTCTAGTGACAAAAGCGTCATGAAAAAAATCAACTGTAGCCGGTGCTGTTTAAAAATTGCATCAAGGGTGGTCTTCATGAATGAACATGAAGCAGCACAAGCACCTATGGTTGCTTTCTAAACAACCTACAATACCACAACTCCGCCCATCGCCGTACCCACCAATCACCATCAACGTGGAGTAGATGAAAATAACTACCGTGGTATGGGCGGTCTCACCCAAGACCTTCCAGCATCAAAGCGTGTGGTCATCCAGTTGGCTTTGGTCAGTTTTCTTCAAGAAGTTCCACGGTGACGACGAAACGCGATCGTCGAGTTTTTTTAGCCACGGTTCTATCGAGTTTTGTGCACGTTGTGCCAAATTTTGTGGACTTGTTTGACAGTGTTTGATCGTTGGGGAATTTGGGCTACTGGAATAAATGGCTGTTTCTACTCTCAATATGGCACCTTACTTCACTGGATACCCTTTCCAAGGTACGTTTTGATAACTTAATCATTTTATGAGGTTGAAAATCGTGAGTTAGAGATGAATGACTTTCAAATAAGGTAGTGTGAAGCAATAAAAATAATCTTGATTAAAGTTACCTTTGCTCTAAATGCCCCTTTCCGGTTGCTAACGCTACTTGTCTTTTTCTAATGACAGTTGTTGATAATTAAAGTCACCTTTTTGAATAAGATAATCAGCGGCATGCGACATTTAATCAAGATGGAATTTATTTCGATTATATCACACATACATTTAAATATACTCCGACGGCAGTAATTATCATTAAATTATATTTTGATATCAAAAGAGACGCCGGAGCATCATTGATACCAAACAGTTTTATTATTTGGAGCTCAGAATATCTCTGTTATTAATATATTCATTCTCACAGTCCATAAAAGCTAATATAAACTCTTTAACGTTGTTGTCGCCAAGATTAACTAAGAGGTGTATCTAATCATCTCATTAGTATAAATATAGTATAATTGAAAATGTTGCGCCTATTTTGATTTCGTTTGTTATCCTTGTATTAAAGAGTCGTTTCCACTTAAAGCGTGGTCATCGAGCGGTAAATATTATTATACATAATAGCTTCCATAAACGGAATTTGAATATAGATAGATCTTCCGGAAACAATTTGGTCGACAAAAAAAAACAACCTGAATAAATTGGATCTGTGCATATGGCGTCCAGCTCCACTTACTTATACCGGATGGAAATATACTTAGTAAAAATGAAAATAATCTAATTGAAGTTTGTAATGTCGATTACTGATTCAAAAAATTATTTATGAAGTAAATAAATCATTTGATTATGTCGTAGAAAGAAAAGAACAACAATTAGATAATAAAAATCTTTGTTAATAAAATTAACTTTCCTTGCGTCTGAAACACAACAAATACCTCATTTTTAATATATTTTTCAGAATGAATTTATTTGCTAATTTGATATGACGTCATCAATTTTTTAGTGGGGACGAACACGTTGATTTTGTCCTACCGAATTTTAAAACACACATAAAACACTTTTGTATTCACCTGACCTTGTATATAACCATCTGCGTCATGCCCACTTGGGTGTAATTTCAGTACGATGCATTCGATACAATTTGTGGTTAAAGAATGGTAGTGAAATGGTTTCATAGTGGCGATCACTATTTTGACGTATTGTGTCAGGCGATAAATCGATTCAATAAATCCATTTAATATTAGATTTTTATGTATCTTAGGTAAGCAGTGGTAAAAAATAAAATGTACTCTTAATAATAAAAGACTTATAATATTTTTTTTTGAGATGACGTCATCAACTGTCTGGAGGGAATAAGTGAGCAAGATTTAATTAAAGTTCTGTATCAGTAAACGTCTGTGACTATTTTATTAAATAAAGTTGTAGACAATGAAAGCTCGAAAAATTAATATTGCATGTATAAATTAATGCTCTTCAAACAGGGCTAATTATTATTGTTTAAAAACTAAAATTTGGTTTTTGTTTATTTGGCTTGTAGATACGAAAATACAGGTGGTCCCTATCCGTCGGTTTGTATGTTTCTATTGTGGCTTTCTTGATGAACAGACAATCTCCATAACTTAAAAATTCTAGATGTATACTGTAAAATTATTGTGAAACTAGTGAACATAAGATTTTCTGTGTCCCGTGACTTAATAGCCCACCTATTTTTAACTCCATGTATGAGTTGTTCTAAAAAGTTTAAAAACACACAGCACCTACAGTTTTGTTATGCACCCCCACCAAAAATTTGATGACGTCATCCTATAAACATTAAGCATATTTTGTGTGCTTTGAAGAAATTTCGTTCTTTATTTATTTATTTTTTTATTCTTTCATGCTTCATGTGTACTATTTGTGTGATTATCACCAAACAGGTTATAAAAGCTGCAAACAAATAATCCCAGACCCAAAACCATATTTTTTCGTTATCGATGGTACATAAAATGTAGCAGCGAAACCGTAAATCACATTTTTAATTCTTCCAGCGGCTATAAAACACTAAAATTATTTATGTCTACTATACAGCAATAATCCGATGGATTCCATTGTTTCGTCAACCGTTCACTAAAAAATATAATCCTGTCCAAATTATTATAACAATGGTGCGTCATGGCTTTATGACTTTAAAACTCTGGTGCTATATTTCAAGGGCTCCAGCGGATAGATAAAAAATACAATACATTTACAGACGTTGCGTGGCTTCTTACGGTAGTTCTTTGTGTGCCACAAGCATTATTTTCCGTAATGATACAGTTTAGAAAAATTGCACTGGACCGAACTTTTACCTATGTGTATGGGCCCCGATGCTCCAGTCGATTGTATTCGAAAATAGACTGCTTGTCTTCCTGGACGGAGCTAATTATTGTTTGCGAAGTTACAGAAAAGACAAATTTTAAGTAAATGGATGATCTTGAAAATTAGAATTTTATTCACAATTGGTCGACAATATACAATTTTCCAAATTTTAAAAAGTTGGAAAATGTCCATTTTCGAACCTATAAATTCCAGGCAACTCGATTTTAAATGGGATTTAATTATCATATTTCCAATGATTGCGAATAAATGTCAATTTTTGCATTTTTCAACGCCAGCTGACTTACACGATTATTGGTTTTATTTTATTGATTACGTTTTAAATTGGGAGATTTTTGTTTTATTTTCAAACTATTTAAAACGACTGAATAAAATAGTATACAAACTTCGTGGAAAGTTTCATTCTTTTCTGTTAGTAGTGAAACACTTTCCACCTCGGTGTGTACTATACTATTGTTTATTACAGTACCAGAGTCTGCTCCCATTTTTTTACGATCATTACTTAACTGAAATGTAAAAAAAACTAAAAATTTTAAATTTTGCTAACACCAAGAGTAAAGTATGTAAAACAACTAATTTTGTGGTCTAAATTGCAGAATTCATCGAGAAAACTAACGAGGGTGATGGCGGCATTCCTTCAAGAAAACGGTGGCAATTTTTGTAGTTATACCCAGAATATAATTTTTGTGTATCCAGTAAAATTTTAAGACGTGATTATGAAGGTCTGGACATTCTTGTGCCGCTTAGTCTTCGATGAGAATATTATTCCTATCTTTAGCATCATTGGATAATAAAATTTTATCGGGTATAAAAATAACGATCTTAGTAATGTATGTAGTGTCGAAATGGACAAGCTTTAGTTGAAGAAAATCCATAAATGTTCTGGCGACTTTTGTTCTATATTCAATTCAGAACCAAATTTGTACCATAGCATGTAGTTCATCTATGCAATTTTATTGGGGATAAGGAAAAGAAGGTAGAAATAGGTATTGATTCAAACTGGGTAAATCCATGTCAAGCCCGTCGTAATCAGATACGTGATCGCGTATAGGGGCCAAGGTGTCAAAGGGGCGACAATCAGGTGCCACTTTATTGGGTTAAAAATGTAGTATACTACGACCACAATAAAATGTTTGACTGTAAATTATTTAAAGGACTCTTGAGATCTTTATTGTTATTATTGGCTCTCAAAAAAGTTTAATCCACTTCCAGACCTTTTAAAAAGACCCAGTGTTTCAGATTTTACTGAAAGTAGGACGTATGTTATACAAAGGTATTATGTTGATTTTAGCTGCTCTAGGGTCAAATGGAATGATATATCTTTGATTATGTACCAAAAGGACTCACCAGGTATGTCACTATATGTTCACTTTAAAAAATGTAATACAATCTTCCGACACTTTTTACAGTTATAACGTTACACGTAGAAAATCTATTTTTAGATTATGTTAATTACACATTGGATGAATCTTCAAAAAACTATGATTTAGAAAAAGTCATCGCCAGCTAAATGACAAAGTTCTTTTATATTAGTCTTCAGTAGTAAATTATGCTGCGTTCATGTGACATATTTAATGGTAACATGACACAAACAAGTTTGTGACGTATGTATGTATACAAAGCACAATTATATCGATATCTTTACCATATTTTTGCATATTTACTCTTTAAAACGCATTACGACGCGATGGCCTAATTTTAAACTGCAAATTTTTAATTCGTTCGAATTCTAGAAAAAAAGTGAAAATACAAGCTGCGACGACTCTCATTAATAAATTCAAGAAGCTGGAGGCAATGCATAAAATTTAAAATATAACAACGCATAAATTGCAAGTAGGTACCTTGTCAAAAAAAGATTACCACCAAAATGTTCATTTATATTCAATAAATATAATTAAAACTAATTAAGGTGTACTTCCGCGCAAACATTTTTTTTCCTAGGGGTGTAAAATCGCTAACCTTTTTCCGTGGCAACCGGAGTTTCTCGATAAAGTATCGCCTATACTTATCGACAAAACAATAACTAATATCTAAATTGCAAATTAAGTTGCGACAAAGTTATTTTTATTTTCTAACCGAAAAATATCAACAAAAAAATACACAGGGTGTGAATGGAATGCATTGAATTTAAATATTCGAGAAAATAAAAGCGACTCTAAAAAAATTGACAGATCTTAACAAACTAATTTTTCTGGTGAAACCGTACATCATGAGGCCGTATACGGACTCGGACTATGAATATTTAATTCATTCACGACGCGCTATCTAGATGCCGAGATAAGGTAATAATACAGATTTAACGTGAATTTTACATGTATTAAAGGCATTAATGGCGTGTAGGTCGGTGTAACAGACACCGACAGCGTTAAGACGATACTTATCTTAACACATTTGACATAAGCTATCGGGGATAACATTATACACCACATCTGACATCGGCACTCAGTTTTTATTTACTTTTTCTGACGGTGCGGCCCCTGTGTTGCTCTGTCGGACAACAGGGACTCATCATTCTGTTTTCTCACCCAACAGGTAGGGGACCCTGGGGGAATTCATGTTTTAAGTATATGCACTGCATATCATAGCGTCTTTGCCTTTAAGCAGTGTTATTAAATTTAAAATTTGCGCTTCAACAGTACATCTCAGGTCTTACGAGCTTTCAAAT